TAATACGGGGAGAACATGCAAACTCCACACATTAATTCCAATGGCCCAGTGCTGTGAGGCGACAGTGCTAACCACTGAGCCACCTGTTCACATTATAATCCTCTTATGAGAAATGTCTAAAACACTCACAATATCCAGCCACTGGTGCACTGCGACTGCCACTTGTGTTCCTAGAGGTTTAGTGAGAACCAGCACATCGCCTGGTACTGCATTATCTGGCCTACAACAGGCATAAACACACAACATTAGAAAAGGAATGAATGGATATATATATATTCGCTGAGCACAGGGATGGGAGGTATTGTACAATATATTTCTATATAGCAACAGTGTCCAAACTCAGTCCTGAATGGCCAGCGTCCAGCCCTAATCAAACACACCTGAACCAACTAATCAAGCTCTTACTAGATATACGCTAGTTGGAGCTAAACTCAGCAGGACACCAGCCCTCCAGGACCAAGTTTGTACACCCCTGCTATATAGTATCGACATATTTATATAAATGCATAATTCAATCCATTCTAGATATGAATCATGCTTCAAATTTAAGTCTTTAAATCATCTAATTAGATATAGATTATATATATATATATATATATATATATATATATATATATATATATATATATATATATATATATATATATATAAAATGTCAAAATATTTATTACACTGCAAAAAATACCTTTCTTAGATTTTTTTGTCTTTTTTCTAGTCTACTCTACACTGTTGTATCTTTCTTTGCTTTTCTTAATTCCTTTAAAATCGGTTTTAACATATTTTAATAATTTTTATTCATTGCTGTTTTTATTTTCTTGTTTCTTCTGTTCTTATTTATGTAAAACCCTTTGAATTACCATTGTGTAGGAAATAAGCTATACAAATAAACTTGCCTTGCTAGTCTAAATAGCTAACAATTCTTAAATCAGGAATCATTTTCTAGACGAGCAAAATAATCTGCCAATTGGGTAAGCAAAATAACCTTGTTTTTCCTTTTGACATAAGATTATTTTGCTTGTTTTAAGAAAAAATTGACATCTTTCACATCTTTCTTAAAACAAGTTCATATGTTTTCTTGTCTAGAAAATGCTTCTTGATTCAAGACCTTTTAGACGAAAAAAAAAAAAAATTGAAGTAGTTTTTGCAGTGTATTTTCATATTATACATGTTATCTATATCCATTTAGATACTTTAAAGCATAGGTCTCAAACTCAATTCATGGAGGGAATAGTTTAGAATAGTTTAGTTCTGCATAGTTTAGCTCAAAACACCTCTAATTCACACCTGCTTAATAGTCTCTAGTAGTCTTGAACACCTTGATTATTTGGATCAGCTGTGTTTGATTAGGGTTGGAGCAAAACTGTGCAGAGCTGCGGCCTTCCAGGAATCCAGTTTGAGATCTATGGCTTAAAGCCTTAATTACGAAGCAAGAAACAGTTTTTTTTTTTTTGCAATGTACATACTGTTGGACAATGAATATGACAAATATCTTACATGCAGATTTGTAAATATAAAAGTGTATTTTAATGATAGCAGTATCTGTAAAGTGACAATTATAATAGGGTAATTGAGAAAGTAAGTGTAAGTATTTTAGCTTTACTTTTTAGTTGGTTACACAATGTAATGTGATTTTATATGCACATAATGTATAGCATGGCTTACATGGATACATTCACAGTATGTTTTCACAGCCTTTGATATGAGCTAAACACTGGGCAGGATGTAAATATATCAATATTTGGAAAAAATTGAGATATATACCATATATTATAGAGAGATATGATTTGTGTTTGTTATAAATGTACTGGCATGGGCCGCTATAAGTTTCTGAAGGTATGATAACCTTGGATAAAAATACCACGGTTTCTTGGTATCGTGATTACTGCTTTAAAATAAGTTATTTTTAAATGTCTGGGTAAAACAAAACAAAAATTAAACACAATTTACTTTATTTTAAGAAACATTTATATATTTTGGAACAGTAAACATGCCAGGCTAAATAGTCTAAATAAATAATTGACTTCTGCTCTCTTCACTTAATTAAAAAAACCTTATATTTACCTTAGAATCGGTATAACTGAACTTTTTAGCAGTATTAAAACCTTAAGTTTTCCAAACCGCGTAAACCTTAAAAACGGTTATCGTCCTATGCCTATAAATGAGACACTTACATAATGAACTCATTAGGTTGGCACACTGTTGTGGCTACACCTCCCAGGACAATCCACGGATTTATAACCGTCTGACCACCTGTTACAGAGGTCCCTGCTTCCTCTGATGCATCCTTAAACCCCTGGATGACCAGCGGCATGACCTTATCACGCTCCTACAACACACACAATCAGATATTGAGTCAAAACACATGCTTAATATGCGAGATAAAGGTGTCAGGTTGTGTGAAAGAATAGTGAAATTGTTCAAATGTAATAATGATAATAATACATTTTAAATGGTTAAATGCTGCTGACAAATGGGAAAAGCACAGTGGTTGGAAGGATATCAGCAAAGTTAAAGTCCCCATGAGATCAAAAAGTACTTTTTTCTTATTTCTATACTTATATAGTAGTTCTTATTATAAATGGTGTATCTGTGCTATTCATTATTTAGTAAAAATCTGTTTGCCCTAATAAACTTTAATCAATTACCAAAACCTTCCATGCACACTAGAAAAGACTTTTCTTCACGTCCTGGTCACATGGAATTCATTTAGGGCGTGCATATTAGTGGGTGCCTCTTTTCTGCTCTGAATTAGTCCATTCGTCAATCTTTTAAACAAATAAAATTGTGTATCAGCCTACATTTTTTCTAATTTCATGACCATTTCAAGTGGATTTGCTGGTCATATAATTAGAATATCTTCAAACAGTTGGTTTATTTTACTAATGCCATTCAAGAAGTGAAACTTGTATAATGTATATATTCATTCCACACAGACTGATATTGTTTCAAGCATTTATTTATTTTAATTTTGATAATTTTGATGAACAAATCAAAACCTTAAATTCAGTGTCTCAGAAAATTTGAATATTGTAAATGCGTTCATTAGACACAAGGAATGTGACAGCTGAAACCCATGTCTTGCATACGTCTGTGAGTAGTGGTTCTTGAAGCACTGACTCCAGATGCAGTCCACTCTGTGAACCTGCCCCACATTTCTGAATGGGTTTTGTTTCACAATTCTTTCCAGGGTGCAGTTATCCCGATTGCTTGTACACGTTTTATCTACTACATCTTTTCTTTCCCTTCGCCTCTCTATTAATGTGCTTGGACAGAGCTCTGTGAACAGCCAGCCTCTATTGCAATAATATTTTGTGTCTTGCCCTTCTTGTGCAAGGTGGTCATTTGGACAACTGTCAAATCAACTGTCTTGATGGAGGACAATTATAAACTTCCGTCTATAAGATGTCATCATCAAATGTTTTACCATTGTTCTAAAGGGCCTATTACTTTATAAAAAAGTATGAACTATCAACCGGGTTTTAGTCACATCAATCATTTAGATGCCCTAGACACTTGTGTATCAAATATGATACAGCAAGCTTTTAAAAACAGATACTTGTTTGCATTTTTAGGCTAGCTGCTCCTTAAAATAGCATACATTAGATGCACAAACACACTTTGCCTGTACATTTACATATCAGTTTCGCATCTCACCTTCTCTGTGAGCTTGTTGCTGACACCGAGCAGCATCAGCATGTTATCGCATTCTGTTACTCCCATGGCGTATAGGTCACTCAGCACATTGGCACAAGCAATTCTTCCCTAGAAAGCCGAGAGAATTCATAGAACATCATATTGAGCACCTAATGTGACGTATTCTCAGACTATGTTAATCTGAAGTCAGTGTTTACCATCATATATGGATCATCCACTATGGGGTAGATGTAGTCTGTGGTCTGTACAAGCGACAAGCCTCCATGTCTCAACGGGATCACGCAGGTGTCCATACCAATGCCTGTTTTAAATAAACATGAAGACAAAAAACATCAATTTGATGTTTTAGAGGTGTGTATAAAGTTTTACGTAGTCTTCAAGCTTAAATGTTTATGCAGAAATGTGTTTTTAAGGGTGACAGTCTTAAAGGAATCCTACAGGGTGACAGATAGGATTATTTCTGGAGAACTATTTACTTAATTCACCATGAAATCCGATTTAACTATTCTTCTTATTAAGGAATACTACAGTAGTTATTGCAAATTATTAATCAGTGCACATAATTATTTTTACATTTTCATGTCTTAATAATAGTTTCACCTCACATTTGCAATAGAGTGCTTACTAATGCAGGCCAAAATAACCCGTCACTAACATAATATCCACCAACAGCATCTACAATAAACCATCCAGATGGACAAAATTAAGTGAATATTTCAACAACTTTTCTTGATCAATAAGTCATTTCACTTGGCTATATTTTCATTCACTCATTCATTTTCTTTTCAGCTTAGTCCCTTTATTAATCCAGGGTCACCACAGCGGAATGAACCGCCAACTTATCCAGCACGCTTTTACACAGCGGATGCCCTTCCAGCTGCAACCCATCTCTGGGAAATTGGCTATATTTTGATTTAATTTATTTTATTCCTATTTCTGCACAAAATTGTGTAAAAGAAAATATGTAGATTTATATAGAATTCTTATTTGAGAGTAAAGAAGCTAAAAACTTAAAATTAAAAATAACAGAACCATTATTTAAAGTTTAACATCCAAATACAATCAAAACACTTATCAACAAAATAAAGAGATAATTAAAAAAAAATTTATAAATGTATGTATTTACACACATTTAGCTATGTAATGAAGAAAAAATAGAACAGGGACTACCGCAGCTTCATGCTAGTATCTACTAAATTATTAATCATTAATTAATACATTAATCAACACTTTTAGCAAATGCTCCTTGATGTCTTTAAACAGGGTTCATACATATTTTACAACTAAAATTCTATGACTTTTCCAGGACTTTAAGTACATTTTCATGATCTAATGTTTCATCCAATGTCTACATATAAATAAAAAGAAAAACAATGCACATTCAAATATATCACAGCATATTATAAAACACATAAAAATCTGCTTAGTTTGCATTTATTTTTATATCTATGTCAAATTTATTTTAAAAATGCTTATACAGCACTAATAATGTAAGAGCATGTGTAAACAGAACAGAAAAGAAGTAAAGACAGCTGACCTAAATTCAAGTATACAGATAATTGTTAAACTAATTTCCATGACTTCTTCAAAACTTTGTGGGTTCTTCTGTTTTTCCAAAACATTTCCAGGCCTGGAAAATGTCATGTCAAAATTCCATGACTTTTCCAGGTTTTCCATGACTGTATGAACACTGTTTAAAACACTTTGGCGCACAAGCTTTCCATTGCATAATGATCAGCAACACACACTCTCTACAACAGAAATGAAGCACAAAGGATAGGTGTGTCGTATATTTGTTGTATGTAATTTTACTTTGCCTTTATAAGGTTTTTTTTTTTTGACTCTCAAAGTGCCAAAAGCCTTACACTTGCATTATATGAATCACTAAGGACCAAAATGTCACCTAAAATCATCTTTATGTGACCACTTTCTATAGGTGGCCACTGGCTTGCATGGTTCGGGACTTGTAGAGCTGCGCATCAATGGATTTGCTCTTCAGTGTTTGGACTCTCAGCAGTAAACATTAAACCACACTGAACTAAACTTAACTGAACTTAAACTATGAAAACTGAACTGACACTGTTACAATTTACTATAATCCTCTATGTGAAGCTGCCTTGACACAATCTACAATGTAAGTGGTATAGAAATAAAGATGAATTGAACTGAATGTTTCACTGAAGAAAAAGAGTCACCTATGTTTTGGATGGCTTATTGGCTCACATTTCTTAGTGAATTATCCCTTCATTTTTTTATGCGAGTGTGTTTGTATACCTAGTCTGGGCATTACAGCCCCAAGGAACTGCTCATCTTCCTGATAATGGTTTTCCTGCAGGGATTCTAGAAGTTTCTGGAGCACATCTTGAGGAACTTTGCAGCCCGTCCCCTTGAGCTCTGTGAAGCGTGTTAGTCTGAAGTTCTTGTCCAGTTCATAACTCTCCGGGTTAAAAGATTCCCGCACCGACATGTTTAAAAAAACAAAACGTCACCGGCACACACAACAGCTAGCACACCTTACTTCAGACTACGGTATAGGCAATCTGAAAAACAAATGAGGACCATATTAAAAGTGAAAAAGCACACAACCTCATGCTGTTTTACTATAGTTATAAAAGAAAATAATGCAACAGTCACTAACTTTAACAGATAATCCTCTACTTTAAAACACATTAGCTTGCACTTTCATTCATTCGTTTACATCAATGGTCTCAAACTCAATTCCAGGAGGGCTGCAGCTCTGCATAGTTTTGCTCCAACCTTAATCAAACACAGCTGATCCAACTAATCAGGGTGTTCAAGACTACAGGGACTATATTAAGCAGGTGTGAGTTGGAGGTGGTTAGAGACAAACTATGCAGAGCTGTGGCCCTCCAGGAATTGAGTTTGTGCTTTAAATTATCTAAATGGATATAGATAATAGGGATGCACTGATCCCGATACTTGGATCGGATAACGGTTCGATACCGCATATTTTTGCAGGATCGGGTATCGGCCAGCTGGTACCCATTCCAAATCCGATCTTGCACTATTTTCTTTGTAATTTATAAGCCAACAAAAGCCATGAAGGTAACCTATTATAAGGCACTAGAAAGTTGAGTTAGAGACCATTGATGTAAACCATGGGTGTCCAAACTCGGTCCTGGAGGGCCGGTGTCCTGCATATTTTAGTTCCAACCCCAATTAAACACACCTGAACCAGCTAAGCATATACACACACACACACACACACACATTTTTATATATATATATATATATATATATATATATATATATATATATATATATATATATATATATATATATATATATACACACACACACACACACACATAATTAGTAGGTTTAATCATTCATATACCGTGCATGTTTGTGCATGTGTACGGGATTCAAGTCCTAATGTGATTTCTTGGATCGCACAGTTCGAACTGCACTGATGTGGCGCGGCCACTGTCCAAGAAAGATTCATTTTAGTGAATCGATTCGTTCGAAGAATTTGTTTGAATGAAGCAGTTGTTAAAATAAAATTAACAACTCGTTTTAGACATCAACCAGTAGTTTACGAGTCTCCGGACAACTTTAAAATAAACATCCTACATCTATAAAGGCACTTAAATTTACAATAAAGACACTAAAAAAGTCATATAGTGTGTAATTCAGTATACAAATGCGAGATATACAAAGAGTTTTCTGAACTGTTGCTCTCTCTTTCATTTTTACGTTAGATAACTACAAAAATATCACTTAAGCTTTAATAATAGGATTTGGTCTTTATATGTACTCTTATGAAAGCAAAGATAATGAAGTATTAGCTGATATTACATTACGCCATTCATAAGAGCTTGCAAAACGGAACGAGTCATTAAAAAGAATCACTTCAACCGAACAATTCACTCGTGATTCACTAAAACCGCTGCACGCGCTGATCCAATGCAACGCCTTCCCGCTGCTTTATTACATTTCACCACATCTTATAATCAATAAGACCATCGCATGCACACGATAACACGTTTAAACAGTGAAATGAATGATAGTAATAGCAGAAGCAAGACAGTTGAAGTGTTTACAAAAATGTCGGCGGTGGAAAAAATTAACCCTTAAAGCGCCCGCGCCATGATTGCTGTGTGCACAACAGAGTAATAATATGCAATTTAAATTATTTGGTGCACTTTACACCAATTCCGCTGCACATGTCTTCTACTTGAATAAATAAGATAGCTCTCCTCACACTTAATGCATTGTGGCACAGTTATATTCGTGTCCCATTTCCCCTTTAATTGTGCTGTTCAGTTTGTGCTTACCGGTTTCGCTCGATACAAGAGACGCGACGCTCCCGCAATGCACCGCGCGCAGAAAGGGCGCCTGGAAAATGTGCCTGAAAAAACTAACACTCAATTCAATACAGTACTTTTGCATGAAAAGCGCAGTATTCGAGGTGTGTGTTAGATTATTTGAACGCTTCGTGTGATTACATATCACCTCCGAGCGTTAAACGGAATTGTTAGCAGCTCTGAGATGATATTTGAATTTAAAACTAGAAGTTGCGAAAGGGTCCTTCTTTCCCGCGTGACGTCATCGCCTCCCCTTTAAAGGAGATGGAAGTATGGCAACAAAAAATGTCCGCAGTAGTTTGTACCTTTAAACTTACTTGAGGTCTTGCCGGTTTTATAAGTCCTCACAGATGTTATTCATTCATTTGGAGGCTTATTATGTTTTTAACACTATAAACGATTCATTCGTGAATGTTTTATTACACATTTATTTTGTTTCTTTGTAAATTATACATGTAAAAGCACCACTTTAAAGCAATTCTTCATAGTTTTATGAAATGAATTGAGTATTATGTAGGTATAATTTCATTATTTGTAACCAAAGAAGCAGTTAAAACTTAATTATGTACCTGTTTTACCCATTTTTTCTGTTTCTCTCTTTTTTTAATTTCTAAGTGAATTAACCCATGTGCACTGTTCAAATGTAAGTTGTTATGTTTGGGATGAAAACATCCACTGAATTAAACTGTTGTGAAATGCATCAGATAAATACTTTTTTCTTAATAATATCTGATATTCAACCTCAGTCCTGATCAAAACCACTAAATTGCTTAAGAAAATTACAGAATTTTAACTCTTTAATTGCAAATTCATACATTATGTCAATGATTTGGTGAAAAAACACAAAAAAATAAGTGTTTCTAGAGCATCGATAAAGTGTCCACAAAACAGGTTTCTTGTAAAACAGGTGTTTATATCTGCATGTAGCCTAAACAAAAGAAAAATTAGACACTTCATTTGTAAAATTTGACTTACAGTAACATCTAAAATAGTCAGTAAATTTCCCTTAAAACACTGAAAATATATACATTATTAATAAATTAGATGTAAGTTAAATACATTTTAAACACATTAAAAACATTACATTTTTATAATGGTGTCATTTGCGTTGTTCTGATCAAAAACCAAATAAGTTCAAGTTCAATTAAGCATGTAAAAACACGTAATAAAGAGGTAATTAATATTATAAATACCAACATTTGATGCATAGAAAATAATTATCACAAATAGGTTTAGATGAACCATTTAAGACACAGCCATATTATTTATTTGACGTCTCAGATCAAACAACTTTCCACTAATAATATCCTTAATCCTTAATACCCAGATTTAACTTCTAATCTTGAAGGAATATTCCTCAGTAAGCTCTTTTTCAACCACATCTGCAGCTTTAATATTTCAGTCATATCGAAATTCATAAAAGCAAACATCACTCTGAGTTAACAGATATGCACTTACAATGGAAGTCTATGGTGAAAGTGTACAACGTAAGCACATTTTGTTTGTGTGTGCGCCATTTTAGAATTGCATTTACACTGAGACTGAGCCACAGATGCTGTCCAAACAGCTAAACTTGAATTTAACCCGGATATTTAATTGTTGTTCAAGCTTTTCACTGTGAGGTAAAACCCTTTGTTACACAGACGCAGGACAATCATATTCATATTCACTCGTTTGTACACATTCAATACACACTAGATCCTCTTACACAGAAAGTCAAACAGTTACATGTCTACAATAACCAGTCTGCCAGATTATACAACCAACGACACATTAGTAAGACTATGTGCAGCGAACATGACATTAAGTGCTATTCATAAAGAAAATGCAATGTATTTCACCAGAAAGTGTCAATAATAAACAGCACAACTCTGAAATGACATCAGTTTGTTATGGTAGCTTGTGTCTGCCACAGGATTAAAAATAAAAATGAAATAAAAATACAAAAGGTAAATTGTTTATCTCACAATTTCTTGAGACTTTTAGAGGAAATACAAGATTAGGCTAGCAATTCTGGTTAAAATCTGAAAACCTTTCCACAAATATACATTAAACTTTTCTCTCAGAATGCTAAATTCATCACTCATAATATTAATAATTCTGCCTTTTTTAAGTATTCTGACTGTTATCTCGTAATTCTGAGTTTATATTTTGCAATTCTAAGCTTATATTTGACAATTCTATATTTATATCATAATTTTGAGCATATATCTGACAAATCTGCTAATAATTATCTCATAATTATAATTTAATATCTGGCAAACTTATTTATGTCATGATGTTGAGTTTATATCAGCGCAATTTTATATCAGCACAAAGTTATCCTGAACAATTCAGCCTTTTTTTCATGTTATTCTGAGGTTATTTCTTGAAATTCTGATCATATATTTGACAATTTGGCTTATGCCATAATTCTGTGTTATTATCTGACAATCCTGTTTAAGTTATGCAGTGCTAAGTCATTTATATATCAATATTCAAAGTTTATTTCTCACAATTCAGAGTTCAAATCCTGCAATTCTGGAATTATATCTTGCAACACAGAGTCATTATTGATACATACCCATATACACATTTATGGAGAGCGCAAATTACGTCCCAGGAGCTACGTTTTTTTGCAGTTTTCGCAAATCCGCCAGAGGCAGCTGTGTATTTTTTTTTTTAGATCTCAAATTTCTCTTACAAGTGCCATTTGCATATGCTCTTCTCACATAAATCCACCGGAGGTCGCTGTTGACTGACTGACTGAGCGACTGATAACCCCACCCACCCCATCCCTAAACCCAACCGATCTGCTTGTTAAGTCATGACGTATCTGTTACATATGGAATACTGCTTCCGGGTCCAGGCCGCTACTCATTTGAATTGAGAAAATATTCGTTTATGACCACTTTTTAGTCATATCACACATTAAAGTGAATTTTACATAACAAGACAGTGTACACATCAGTCTCTGGACTTGCTGCATCACAAATGAACATTTTTTTTAGCAATTTATAAAACATTTATCACTTTCTGGCCATTAAATATTAGGCATGGAGATATATATATATATATATATATATATATATATATATATATATATATATATATAGATCAATCGTGATTTTCGAAAGTATTACAGCGCTTTGTAAACATTTATTATTACTATTTGATCATTTTCCCCATTCTGTTAGATCCAGCACTTGGACCTGGAAGCCGCTTCGCGTGACGTCACACTTAAAGATATAGACTGGCCCATCCACCACCTCCCTAAAATCAACTGACAGTGTTCCAAAACCATTCCAGAAAAAGAAAAGCCCTCACTCCTGCTTGATTTTTACCACGTTTTCAGATATTCCCACATTCTTACCCTGTTATTTATTTGTTTATTTTGTTTATTTGCCAGTTTGTTTATTGGGCAAACTGGTAACAGCAGAAAAGTCGTCCACACGAAGGTGATGAAAAGAAACAGAAGCAGTAGGCGGCATCATACCGCCCTGTAGCATTCATTTTAAAGGTGAAATGCAGCTATACGTAGCTCTAGCTACATACTTAGTGCACTCCAGAAATGTATACGAGGGTACATTTTCACAATGAGCCTGTGTTGCAATTCTCAGATTATATCATGCAATTTTGTTCCCTATAGTTATGAATTTATATCAAACAATTCTCACTTTTTTCTTGGAACTGCTGGAATTAAGCCATAATTGTGAAATAAAACTAGCAATTACATCTGCATTTTTATTTCATTGGAAACAAGCTTACACTTTCTGTGGCTTGGCATGGCAGAGTGAATTAAAGGCACAGTCATCTCTTATCAGCGTTTCTGCTGATATTTGTTGGCGAAGCATTTGGATGAAGCTTAAAAACGACAAACACTTTCATATATTCATAGAAGACACTCAGTGACATCTGGACGACTCACTTTTAAAACGAACATGAATACCTGTTACAAAAGTGTGTCCACAGTTGTCTGGAACGCCAGCAGGGGTCCTACTGATCTCACAGCTGACCGTGAGCACTTTGCCACGTCTTGCCATACATGCTACAGTCTAGACGGACAAAATAATTAAAAATGACTCCTTTGTGGGGGTCGGAGGTTGCATTTTGTTGAAAACAATCTCGTCTCAGGCAGTGTCCATAGCAACTAGACTTTCTGTTCTCTCAAAAGCAGCACCTGCGGTACAAAAGAAAGAGTTTCGTCAGAACAAAGGCACATTTGGAGTGCGAGATGTTTAAGGTGTGCAATGCAGTACCATTTAGTGTCACAGTTTCCACTTTATCAACAGTTTGCTGACATTTCTCTAAAAGATAACAAGACAAGGATGATACAATGCAAGAAGGAACAACATTCCAATGCATTTCAACATCAGTTTGCTAAATCTTTTGGTGTTGCAAAGAATGCTGGGATATCATCAGGTTAGAGACACTCATTCATTTGATGGTGTGTTCCAAATGGGACATATCCCACCCTAAAGGACACATAGAAGTGAACATAATCCTGGCCGCCATATTGAAATGTCATTCCAAAGTGAAGTGCTCAAAACTTGCTACTTCCAAGGGGCCTTTGGAATGAAGGGTTTTAAATAATACCTGATGTGTGCCTTTGAGCAGGGCAGTTTTTTGGTGTCACACACTGTACTCAATGGGGAAGAGTTCACCCCTATCCTCTTGTCCCTTCAGAGGGACCCTCGGAAAGGATTAGGGGATGGGGATGAGCCCTTCCAAATGGAAGCCAGTTTGAAGCACTTACAGCTGAACCAATTGCTTCGAAAAATGATTCACTGTTTTAAAATGTTGAAAACACCCCATCCTGGAGACACCTACTGGTCAAAACCCTGTAAATGCAACTAAAACAGGCAAAACATGCATTAAAATGAGCTTTTCCAATCACACTGCACACGCTATTTAATGTATAACTTATAAATGCATTAGCTTATCATCTAATATCATTAAATATTAAGTATTTGCATAATATGCGTTACTTTATAAATTTTCAACAGTTATATTATTCGTTTGTCGTGGACTCTATTAATCAGGACAACAAGAGACTATTAACTAATATTATTACTTTTCATTTTACAAATGTATCACTAAAATTGCTACAAACTCGTAAAAGTGAAGTTGTTGACACCAACAACTTAGTGGTACTGTGCGCTGACATGTAGCAC